AGGAATGCCATGATAAGTGGAAAAGAAAATCACATGATACTGTTCTGAATGTTTCTTAATTGAATTCATTGTTGACGAAAGGTGCTGGATTCACAGCTATGAAGGAGGCTAAAATCCTTTGTAGCTGAATGGTAAGAGAGAAGGGGTTGGCAACTCGGGCATTCCTCTTCTTCACAGGCATCATGCAACTCAGCCTCATGATTTCTCAAAGGACAAAAAATACTCATCCGTTCCTAACTCAAATATAACCTAATTCCAGAAAAAAACACATTTCTTGCATACCATAAAGTCAGGTTTAGGTAGCTGCAGAAATGAACCAGTGAAGTTACGACAGCACTGATTAGATTCTTCACCCTGCAAAGCAGTCTGGAAGATAATGCTTACAAATGCTTTTATTGATATAGAATTGATAACACAACAAAGAGAACTGACGGAGGTAGCAATAATTTTAGGTTTAGATGGAATATTATTTAAAACCACGAATACTCAGAGATTGTGATTGAGAACCTCTCCAACACAAAGCATGCCAGCAGAGTAGAACGTCAATACTTCTTGGAGATAATCAGGCTGACTCTGAGCAAGCAGGTACGCATAGACAGCACCACACACCACCGCGCAGAGACACTAGCACAGGTCCTGAAGTAGTATTTGCCTGATCCGTCTTCATCAGCCTACCAGAAGCATGAAAGAGCCTGACCTACGGCCTGTACTGACACAACTATACTTCCTTCCCTTCAGCGTCATGATTCAGCTCTAGCTGAAGAATATCTGTACTGAACAGCAGTGCACTGTGGCACACCTAAACTATGCACTTCACTGGCACAGGGCAGTGCCTCTACAGAAATTTTTCCAAGAAACATTTTTACTAACTGGACAACAGATAGAAAATGTATTGCAATTGTATTATTACTCTTCCTCCTCCTCCTATGTTAACATGCAGTATTTTGAAAACAACTTTCTGATTTGAGGAGTTCTGAAACTCCTGAATCTGACAGATTAGCTATATTTTAGCATTTCCATATTTAGATATTTTAACACTTGAAGTACAACACAGCTGAGGCTAGATTGGCAGCAATAGCTGCTTTTCCATTCCCACAGCTGAATCCTATCTCACTTCTACAATAGAAGTACAGTCATCCTTTGTGCATCCTTTACATTCTGCCTTTCTTAGGCCTTTCTCACCTCTCAAAGACTGAAATTGTATCCCTGAGCATTTCAGCTCTCTCTTCTTGCATTTTCTCCTCATCTTATCCCTACTCTGCTTCCACCGCTCAATCCCCACAGCATTCAACCTCAACACATAGAATAAAACTTTTGAACTGAACAACTAGAGCTGTAAGATATACAGAAAAATTCTAATACAAGTTTTGTGCAGCATGACTAGCAATGGGTTTACAGACGGAAGAGGTGGAAGGGCCATTAGTTTAACATGGCAGCCTGAACTGGAGGAAGCACTGTGACACCAGCCATGGCTGCAAGGAGGCCCACAAGAGAGGAGGAAGATGAGTTGCCTGCTACACCACTGGGATAACTGATTAACCTAAGGAGCTAAAAGGAGAACAGGGAAGAGAACTGATAAATGAGGGGAAAAAAAGATGTATTCATCTCAAGTAGCTAATTGATTTGTATGGGAGGAGAAATGGATTAACTTTTGGAGAAGCAAGGAGGGAGGCTGAGAGTACAGAGTGACCACACAGTACTACAGTTATGACAAGGTCAATGGAAGAGCACTGGGTGGAAAGTTCCTGTTAGGTTCCTCATGACAAGTTTTCTAACACAACATTAAAAAGTGTTTTGTGCAGTATGACATCAGTGTGTAAATGCAGTAGCAGAGCAAACTGTTGGGGGGAAGTAAAATGAGACCTCGTGAGACAGCACATAAACAGCAATTCTAATGGAATGTGAACTGATGACCATTGCTGGATTGCTCCTGAAAAAATTAAAAATAAGTAATTTTAAATGTTTCTTATTACTGTACTTTCAATATCCTCAAGGCATGTCCTCATATTAAGTAAATGCCACTCTCCTAATAAATTTTGTCAATTTTTCTCTCATCTAGTAATTTGAAACTTATTTGTCAGCCATTCCAGTAACCAGGCAAACCCATCTTCTGTGCAGCTTCTAATATGCTGGAAAATTATTCTCACACCACTATACAGCTCTTGTGTCAAACATAGATGCACATATGCAAATTCAGCAACAGCAAAAATAAATTCTAATATATTTCTTCACAGCAAAATTTTTGAGAATTTTGCAGTCCATATGCCAGTGTAATGAAATTGATTCTCAAACACATCTTCCAGATTCAGCGTAAGCCTTTGTTTAGTTAAGTCAAACTTTGTTTCCTACTCAGATAAAACAGATAATCTACCATTTTCGCAGGGTGATCTACATTTCATTCAACGAGGTGACAATTATTAGCTTCATCAACAGGAAGACTATTTGAAATTCCTATTGCAGTCCTTTTTCTATTAGTACTTGAAGACAGGCCAAGAAAGTTAACAATTTACTGAATTTGGAAGTAGAAATGTGGAGGTCAAGCTGGTTTTTTTTTTAACCATAAGTGTAATGCTATTATCTGCTAGTCCTTCATGATTATAAAATACTAATGTGAAGGAAGTATCCATTTGCTTTTAAGAGAAATGCCCTTTGGAATCCAGTTAATTCTCCAGTTCACGTGCTCAGCAAAAACCACTTCAATATTCAAATATTTTCTCCATGAAATGAAACAACTCCTATGAAAACAGTATAATTCCACAGATATACTCAAAACTAACAAGTGATTAAAAAAATCTTGCCCTGAAATCAAAATCACATACATTTTTAAAAAGAAAATTAGCTAAAACATACCTACGCAAGGGAGGGAATAGCCAAGCTCTGGGTCATGGATGAACTGACGGTCATTCAGCATAGTCACACAGTACAAATGGAAACAGTCTAAGCAAATGACATGGCGATGCACGCACTGGAACACAAGCACAGGACTCCTATTCAAAACAAAACAGTGAAAATTATTAACAAGGACTGAACCAATCTCCACAAAAATCTTTGTTTAAAACTTCTAATTTTATAATAATTTTTCATTACTAGTACACAAGATTATTATGTACGTAAAACCAGAATTTAGCTTGGCATATTGCAGCACTTTTAAGAAGAGATGGTTTCTAACATTAATCAGATACGAGGAAAAGGAAATAAGTTTCTACTGGAAGTTGAAACTTTACTGAAAACTGGAACCTAAAGCAAGAAAAGTGCTTTAGCAACAGAAATCCTTTGTATGAGGTGAGGTAAGATCATATATGGTGAAACATCAAATGGTGTTAGGTAGGATTAAATAGAAATGTGACCAGCTAGGAAAGCTAAATAAGACTTTGTGAAGATCACCCTGTGCCTTCAGCCTCTCAAGGCAGCCATTGGAATGCAACATTGGGGGCATTCCCTTGGCAATAATGAGCAAAATAATTCGGTTTCTGCTCAGAGATATGGGATTCCATTTGGGAGCAAGACACCTAAACTTCAATGCTATATATAAATACCTACCTGCACGCTAAGCAAGAAATTCCCGCTATAGTCTATACACTTAGCGGAGACTGGAGCGGATCAGTCTCCAGGTATCTACATTAGGGTGAGCTGAATCATCCGCTTGGCTCCATTGTCTGTATGGACTAAATCTTCACAGATCATTACAGGAGCTCAGACACCCACCACACATGCAGACGCCTACGTGGAGACACTAAATATGGGTATCCCAAGCTTGACAGGATACTGTTTGTGGAGATGCAAAGAGGAAACACTTGGAATAAGTGAGGACAGACAGTTTTACTCCTGAGCTGGCCCGCACTCAGAAACTCACTAGCGGTAGCCACAGTAAGGAGGGGCAGCAGCTCCCAAAATCTTGCTCAGGACCAGTATACTGGAGGTGAAAGAGAAAATGAGTAATATAGGAAATATTACGTACACGTGAAATGTGTCTTCACTGCAGGAAGACAGTGATAAACCTAATGGGTTTGCTCTAATATAAGCTAACTTCTGTTAACTCCTGATGGACATACCTTAACTGCCAATTCCAAAATAATGACTATGACCCCTTTGATAAACTGATGTGCTCTGTAAGTGTTACACAATGGTGCTTGCTTATCTCTTCTCCTTGAGGAGTATTACCAACCTCAAGTATCAAAATTGGAAAAATATAGAGACAGATGCATTAAGCTGAAAAGAACAGTGAGATTCCCATTCAAATGCTGAATTACTTTACCCTTATTTTTTTTTTTTTTTTGTCTGTGGGAAAACAGAGGTAGAAATGGGAAAAATGTTAAATTTTTTAGTAACTAGGAAGAAAGAGAATTATTTTTAAAAATAAGAGGAGGAATTCTCACATATTCACTGTACTCTAGGAGACCAGTATTAAAATATAACATCAAATACAGCAGGACTTGTGATAAAATCATTAGAGTTAGCAATACTGCTATAGCTTCTATAAATCCTGCTAGACGATGCTTTGAAAATCCACTGAAACAGTAAATCACGAAGCCCTCAATGTGGGAACACAACTGCAAAATGTAATCAATAATAATTTCAGATACTGTATATAAGAATTTAATCTCCCATGAAAACATGCTTTAGAGTTGCACATACTATAGAATTCATGGCAATGTGTTGGTATCTCCAAAAATATAATCTCTGTGTTTTAAGGATTTTGTTGAATAAAGCAGCTTAAAAACTGAATTAAATAAAACCTTCCCATTACTAATCCTTATTAGTTGCCCACTTGCTGTTCTGAATGTAACAAATAATAATTTTAAAAAGACAGCTGTAAGGCAAAATGAGAAGCTGATCTGTATCATTTTAGCTCTGGATGGTCCCAAAATCATTATAGATAGCTGGAGGAGCAGTTATCTTGTCCCTGTCGTGCAAAAGTCCCCATGGCTCAGCAGTCAAATGTACCCTTAAGAAATCTTCCTGAAATGCAGATATAATCAAATTTGCCTACAGCTTTAATGAATATCTCTCTATTAGGGTTAATTGCTCATTTTTATTGCTGCAGTACCTGAGTATCTTTTTAGTTTCGTGGGAAGCTCCCTGGATCTAAATTCACACCTCTCTGACCTTCATTTCCAAGACAAAGTATATAAATGTGTGAGGAAAGATCCACAAGAGGAAGCCATCAAAAGGTGCGTATCTTAAAAAACCTGGGCCAGAAATGGAAATGGCATTATTAACACTTCCACCTAAACTTGTATGAAACCAAGACTAACAGCACTTCATTAGGCAAATGAATTACTACAATCAGTTACTAATGTAAATTATTTGTGATAATCAATTTTGCTTCTTAATATATTACAACTGTTTGAAATAAAACTATATTCTCCAGAAAGAGCACAGCCACATATGTACGCATTTAAAGTGCATCTTTAGGAACAACATTAATGTTAAAATGTGCTACCTTTTAACACTATCAGACTCGCAAGCAATGCGTACAAACTAGATAAAAGTCTGCGTTCTGACTGTGTCACAAAACACAAGCTTAGCTTTCACAGCTACCACACTGTCTGGTAATTTCGCAGCCCACAGTATCTCTGTCGTAAGGCTCTGAGAAACTCAATCTGTATGCAATGTAGATTTATCCAAATTCATTTGGCATTGGAACAGTTACTGCCTTCCAATACTTGCAGATTTTGTACCAAAAGAAAGCACTTCTAGTTAAAAAGAGAGATAAAAGTTTTGATAAAGAGATAAAAAAGATCAGTAAAGACAAAGATGTAGAGATTATGTTCATAATGCCCAGGTGAAGCTAGTAAATACTCATTTAGGATAACCCCAAGAGTTATTAATAGAAGCCTTGCTTGAACCAAACACAATTTATTTTAGAGAGGAGTATTACGAAAGTAAAAAAATTTGCCTTCTACTATAAGAAGGGCCCTTGCTCAATCTAACATAACAGTCTAGTAATGTAAATCTGATGTACATTTTAGAAGGTATTTCATAGGTTCCATTTACATAATGTGTTTGGGTGAATTAGAGGCTTCATGAGAATAATGTATAAGAAAAATGTTTCTCACAGCAAGGGATAAATTGGTCCTTTTTGTTCGCCAATTAGGAATGTTGCCACGTTTAAAAATTGAAAACCCAACATTACAATGCATCACAGAAAATTTCCATAGTAAGTCACTCACTCCTGTGCTCTGATTCCTTTTCATTAGAATTTTATCAGCATGCATTTACTTAAATGGAAAAGAAAGGAGAACCTAAATGTTTCTGCTTCATGTTATTACTGTCGGATAACTGTGTGGCACAACGACAGCACTGTTGGAAGCGGTATCTGGTCTGTACGCTCCTTCCTCCTTCTCTAACAGAGAAGCAGCAAGACACAGATAATTCTCAGATAGACTGCAACAGTATACTGCCTAAATAAAGATAGGAAGACTTGATCTTGTTTAGATAAGAAGCCCACTGGGAAATAAATTGTTCTAGTATATACCAAAATCTCGTGACGGTTATTAATGTACTGAGAGCGAGTCCAATGGCTATGAACGTGAGGTGCTACTCAGCACAAAGAATTATTTGCAGACATAACCCTGCATTAATTTATATAACTTTCAATGCCTACTGGAGAAAAATGTGGGGCAAGTTGTCCCTTCCTTGGTCTTTATCCTTCGTATTTTGAAAAAAGCTTGACTGAATAAAGGTTAAACAGCACACCACATATATCAGTCTATTATTTTTCAGAAAATGTGAGTAGCCACAGTCTGAAGCACTTTGGAGCAAGGAATATATCTAAGCCTGTAGAAATCTGTGAAAAACATGTTGGACAAATCTGTGAAACCCCCTTGAGGTCATTTCTAGGTGACAGTTGGATTTTTCTCACCTCACTCTCAAAATCTTAACCAAATAATAACAAAAAACCTTAGCAGATGTCTATAAGGCTGCCTTGCTGGGATTACAGTCAGTGAAGCAAAAATAGCCATTTGGGATTCATTTCTGTACAGTAAATAAATCTCAATGCACACAGCTATATCATAGCCTTTAAGCCCACCTATGTGTGCTATATTTATCATAACACACTTCTGCATTTCTAATACGTTTTTCCATGTTGGCAATCCTCCTGTACTTCAAAAAGCTTTCTATGTAAGTACCATGAAATAATTTTATTTATAAGTGGATCTCTCTGCCATTCCAAAATGAATCTTTGTTAACTTACAGGTCAGATCGGTAAGCACCACTCAAGAAAAGATGAATCACTGAATAAAATGTGTAAAAAAAAAAGAAATTATGGAAAATATAAACTTTGGTGACATAGCCACTAGAGGCACTCTCCTACTTCATAAACAAGGCAATTAAACAGAAATGCTGTCCTTGAGCAGCACTCAATCAGTTTTGGCTCTCCCCTTGTAGCAGAACAAAATTACAATGCCTAAATAAACCAAATTATTCATCCATCACATGGCTTCCTCATAGAACTGTATGTAGCGAGTATAGTCTTCTAATTCGTACAAAGCTAGTGCCACATCTGGCTTTCCTGTCTATCACATACAGTCCACAGTCTTATTCAAAACTACTGAAAGAATTGCCTGTTTATGATGCTTTAAGTGCATGGTTTTCTTACCACAAAAATATTTCCAAGTACTTTCAGTTAGAGTAGATTATTAAATTCCATTCGAAAGATGCTACTATTTATATAAAATACAAATGTAGAAAGTATAGGAAAATTATCACAGTGATTTCTGTTTTAGAACTGAGGCAGTTCGGAGGAAAGTATAGCAACAAATCCTGCCTTTTAATGAGCAATATGCTATTATAGATAAATAGAAACAGTGACCTAGCAATTGCAGACAACCTGTAAGTAACAATGCAGGCCCCTAAATATTTAGACAAGGGTAGGCATTTGGAATGGGTATCAAGACCTTACAAGAGAAAAGAAACAATGATAAAGTACTACGAAAGAAATCTCACTGATATGACTTTGCAGTCAAGAACCCATCTTTCACAG